TATTTAAAGTTGGTTCACATTTTTGAGTGCTACTGGTGAGTACTTGTTATCAACTTTTCGGAGAGCCAAAATCTGAAATATGAGTGACAACAATTGCTATTAGCTTTAATATTGAAGAATGTGAAACACTCAGGTCATAATTGAGATCAATGCTCTCAGAGTGAGCTAGTGGAAGATGTGACTTAATGTAAGAAAAAAAGATATCTATTTTCACATGTGATTTTCACTTGCCTAAGTTAAACGATTGAAAAGTAAATGTCTCCACCTGTTTCTGTGCAGGGACCTAGCTTTGTCCTTTTCCCCGTCCTGCACTTTCTTCTTCTTATCTCCCCTTTACCTTCTACCCTCTCTTTCTCAGGGCCTCTTTGGTGTCTTGCTCTCCTCTCATTCCAACCTTGGAGCAACCCCCGCTGTCTCCTCTTCTGTGTCCTATACCCCTGCTGTGATTCCTAATGAAATAAATTTCAGGAAGTCTACTGATTGGATCCATGACAAGTGCATAATTTATAGGAGCAGCTGGTCCCCTTCGCAGCACTGGACAATCCTTTCATTCTTTCTCAGTATATTCCTTTTCCACTTCCGCTCCACCTCAGCCCTCTCGCCTTTTCCGACTTCATTAGAGGATATCGGCTATGAATTCTTAGCCTCTCTTTTCTCTTATTCCTTTCTCCCTATTTTCATCTTGGGGAATACAAAAGTCTCCCCACTTTCCTAATGTTTATCTCAGAAGTTATCACATCTTAGTCATTATACTTAGAAGGAGATCTCAAAGGATCCTCTTATCTCCTAAATCAGGGTCTCATTGTCAAGTACAAAATCATGAGTTGTCCTGCCCACCGACACCCTCTTCTTTCACACTGCCACCCAAATTAGAATTAGTATTTGTAGTATTGTCTTTATTTAATCAAATCTCATTTTCTTAGTCTCAGCTCTAGAATTGAGAGATTTTACATTTTATGTTTATCGGGTTTTTTCTTTTTATGCCTGTGGTCCTCGATTAGAATTTTTTCAATGACCTTTGCATCCTCCATGATTATTAGATTTTCTGTGACTTTAAGGAAAGAGAAAGAAGTGATTTCCTAAAGTTGGTTATGAGAATCTTTGCAAACACAAGAAGGGCAGCTTCTTTTGTTTGCATCTGAGGCTAAACACATCTGATTTCCCCATAATCGTGAGTCCTTCTCAGATCCTCTATAAATTGTTGGCTATTTTTTGTATTAGTTTCAGATATACAATAAGTTGGTTAGACATTCTGGTAACTGTCGGGGATGCTGAGAGAAAGGGGTGAAGGGTTAAGGAGGAACAAATTAATAGTTGAAGGATGATCACAGGGATGGAGAGTACGGCGTAGGAAATGCAGTCAGCAGTAAGGTAATGGCTATATGTAAAGCCAGATGGAAGACAGAGAAATCAGAGGATCGTTTCATAAACTATATAATTGTTGGCTGTTTTTAAAAGCATGAGTAGAAAAGTAGAACATTTGAGAAGCTTCTGAAATATTCTATCAGTACCTTTAAGATGTGGCTCAAAATTTTCTCTTTATAGAAGGCTTCTGGGAATGATCCTTTCTATGCTCAATCTGTAGTGGTCACTAAAAGTTAATTTTCCTATTAATGCCTGTAATTATGTGTATTTCATCATAGAATAGTGGTTACATTTGTGGGCTTTAGGGATAGATGACTTAAGTTTAAATCTCAGTTTTTACTGTGTGACTATGGATGAGTTACTCAACCTCTCTGTGCCTTAGTTTCACCATTTATAAAATAGGAATGCAATTGTCAACTATCATAAAATATTTTTAAGGATTATAGATGCTATCCTTGTTAGACTTGCACAGTGCTGAGTATATAGGAAAGGCTTATAATTATTGCTATTGTTATATGTTATTATTATGATTAGCTAGTATGTTCTTTGCATTTCCAACTAAATTGTAAAACTTGAAGTTAGGAATTTACATAATTAAACAAATACTAAACAAATTAATACAAAATGTTTGGAGTGAATCACTTAAATTAATGGAACATATTCTTTTCATACCTTTAAGGCATTTACGATTGGTATTCGAATACCAAAAAATACTGACATGTTATTGGGTCTCAGATGGATTTTATTTTTTTCTTTCATTAAATCCAGTTTGATGTTTTACAAATAGAAAGTTATCAACAAATGATAACTGAATTCATGTAAATTATATCCACAAGGCATAATTTTGATTTAAAATATAACAAACATATTATAAATATGTAGTTAAATATCCTGAATGTAAACACAGTGTTTACAAAATTTACGTTTTTAACATCATTAAAAAGAAGTCTATGGTGCACTTAGGACAACTGTCTCCTTGAAATTCTTAGTAAAGTGTCAAGTTTTCTGAAAGTACTTAATGGTATTTGGACTAAGTGTACATTTTAAAACTCTCACATTATGAGTTAATGCATTTGCAGAGAACTTCAGAGTGAGGATCCATATTGCTTATGTTGCAAATGAAAAATGCAAAGGAGTGAGGAGTTAGGACCTATTGAATACCAATGGAACTCTTAATGGTTTTCATTACTTCCTTTTCTCTCTTAATAGAATATCATTTCAATTAGTACCATCTCAATCAAAACTACGAAAATGCTTCATATTAAGTCTCAGAATTGTGGAATCACTTCTTTTGGGGACTGGAATGAAAATTAAAAGATAATCGAATCCAACTCTCTCATTTTATAGATGAGAACACTGAGGCCAGTAGCACTTATTTCTGTTAAGACAGTTTTAAAAACAACAGCGTTCATGCCCTTTACCTGTTACTCACTCTAGTTTTATTATTTATTTTCATGCTGTTCAATTGACCACATTTCAAAATACTAGTGTGCTCACGATGCCATGTTTAGATAGGGTCCTTCTATGTGTGTTTCTCTAAAGGATCCTCTAGGTCTTGTGTGGAATTTTCCTTTGTAGTGTCAAAGCCATGAGCTCCTGGTGTTCCTTTGATTATTTTTTTAAGAGAAAACTATCATGTAAGATCCAAGACCAGAAAAAAAAATATTTATGGTATATATTCTACAGATATTTTCTTCTGGTTTTTTTTTTTTTCCCTCTAAGAGAAAGGTCTTTGTTACTATTCAATAAAATTCCCAACCTATATTCTTAAAGTACTTACTAGAGATAATTTGTGACTAATCACTTTAACCTAAAGAAATAAGATTGGTAATAAAATGCAAAACCATACCTTAATCACTTTGGAGTTGTAATTATCCTTTACATCTATCCAAATAAAGCTGCATTTAATATTCGAGTTACTTCCAAAAAATGTATTTAAAATTATTTTTTATTGCAGCCTCTGATCTTTAAATGTACCGGACAGGAGAATTTGGAGAGCTTATGTTGTTGGTAGGTGGTAGGTTTCAAGTTAAATTGTGCTGAAGCAAACGTGAAGTATCCACTAATATTTTTACAAGGCCCTTTTTGAAATTCTCACGTTGACTGCTACCAGTGACTTCGGTTTATTGGCATTTGGTTAATTAAGAGACACAGTATTTAAATAATGATTAGCTAAGAAAAAAATATTGATATAAAAAGGAAAAAGCAGACTAGAAGGGCACAAAGCGACTCTCCCATCTACCTCCAGCCCTCCCTCCTCTGAAAGCCTGGGCAGTCTTGGAGTAGCAGGTTCCTGCATGTGCCAGGAATCCGGTCTCCGTGCAGCGAGGCGCAGTACAACGCCAGGGCGTTCCCAGCGGGGCACTGCTGGCTGCTTGAAACCTGCAAGCACCTGGCGTGGTTCTTGAGGGCCCTAGGGACGTCTGCCTCGGACGCGTCGGCTCTAGGCTTGCGAGCAGAAGGCTCTGAGCGGTCGGAAGGGTTTCCTGTGTGTCAGCAACTTCACTTTGCCGAGATTTTTGAAGGAGCGCTCGCGGGCCAATCGCTCCCCAGCAGCCAACCCTGACCCGGCGCGCCCCTCGTTCTCGTCGCCGACTCCGGGAGCAGCGACGGGGCTGAAGCGGAGCGCGCCCGGCCCTGGCGGAGACCGGCTCCCCAGAAGACGCCTGGGGCTCGGGGCGAATGCCCTAGAGAGCGCAGGCGGGCAGCCGAGCGGGCTGGGCGGAGGCACACCCCTCGCCTCCCGCGGAGCGCGGACTCGCCCGGTGCCCAAACTCCGCCCACCCTCGCCGGGAGCCCGGCTCTCCCGCCTGCTCCTGCACTCGCGACCGTGCGGGGCCTGGAAAGGGGGCACCGAGCGGTGCTGACCGCGAACGGGACGCGATCCTGAAGCGCACGGGTCTGCGGCCACGCGCTCCGATGGCTCCCGGAGGCTGAGCTCAGGGGGCGCGGAGGAAGTGGTGCGGGCCCCGGAGCCGAGCGCTCGCTGGCAGGGTAGGGAGAAGGAAGATGCCCAGGCGAAGTTGATTGGGGGAAAGGAGGCTGGGGAGTGCCCTCCCCGCGCCCGAGCGCACAGCGTAGTGAGTTTGGCTGGACCTCGCTGAGCTCCAGGCGCGGACCCGCGGACCCTCGAGAAAGCTCAGCCGGAAAGTTGTCGGCCGCGGGGCCCCGCACGCCCTGTTGTGTAACCTCGGCGCTGCCAGCAGGACGGGGAAGTTGCTGGCCCGCTCGCCAACCCGGTTCGGCCCCGGCCCCGGCCCCGGGCGGATTTCATGGCCCGCGGCGAACGCGGGGCCGGGGCGGGCGTGGGCGACCCCCCGCGCGACCCCTCCCGCGGGGATCCTCGGCGCCCGCTCCCTTCCGCGCGCCCGCT